ACACTGACTTTTCTCCTCAAACTATTTGCCTGGACTAAGCTCAAGGCAAAGTACTCCCTCATCTCCACATTTACCCTGTGTCATGCAGAGGGCACACTGCTGAAGTAAGTGGTTTGTAGCTGACATGTATGAAGAAGAAAAAGAGAACTGCTTCCCAAAGTCAAAAATAGAAGGGATGTGTGGGGAAATCTCAGTAAAACAGATAAGCATAAATAAGTCGGATTACACTATGCTGTGATTATTCAGAAAACATGAAAATTAAGTTTATTTTGTCCTATAAATTTTTGTACATTGATTCCAGTCAATACTTTAAAAGTGTATGATAAGTATTTAATTATGTGACATAAAACTGAAATGTTTGTTCTAGTCTATCTTAATTCTTTTTTACTGAAACTAAAAAAGTATATTATTCACATATCTTAAGTATTATAGTTTCTATCAAACATAGCATCACAGTTAACAGAATTTCTACTCTGCATTATCTGCAACAAACTGCAAAGGTGGGCATTACACTAACAGAACACTCATCTTTAAAACCATCATTAAATAATTATCTGTAAAACTTTTACTATAAAAATGTTCTCACACATCAAGCATGAAAAAAAGATTATCAAACACACTGCCAATTGGGCCAAAATTTGGTTATCTTGAAATGTCCGCCACTCACGGTAAATACTGCTCCTGGATACTGTCAAAAGACAAACAAGGAACTAGAAAGGTGGTCAAGTTAGACCATAACCATCTTCATGAACATATCTAGAAACCATCAGACAAATTATTTGTCTTTAAGTTATCTACTTCACAAGATCATTTTATTGGAAAGGGAGAAATGCTGCCAACACTCCAAACAACTGTAGTAGCTTATTTGCAGCAGTATTTCTCATCTACCCCTAAACAAGCTTGGAAAAGAGAGAAGAGAAAAAGGGAAGAAAGTATAGAGATAGGAATGCTGTCATCCTGTTGTAGTATCTAAAACTTCACCTCCCTTCATCTTTAGAAGCTCCTTCTCCTCATCCACATGTAACTCACCATGAAAAAACACAGACACTGGGTGGAATAGGGAGGTACAAATCTATAACTCCTGCCTGTTAAGTTTCAGCAACCATTATATTATAACGTTAGCCATTAAGTCACTCAGTTAAGGAAAGACAATGAAAAAGAAATTGGTGTGTAAAATCAACATAGCTAAGTGAAGAAGGTTTTTCCCAGCTCTAAAATGAACTTCCAAATCTAGGTCCACCCTATTCATAATGAGGAAATGGAGAGCTTACACACTGCCTGTACAAAATTGCTTCTAGCAACAGTCCTTCCCTTCGGGTGTACTGTAGTCACAAACTTGTTCTGCATCTCTCTACAAAGAAGTCACAAAACCTTTAAAATCTCTTAGGGCTCCATTCTTCTAGTTAGTGAAGGCTGCAATGCAAAGTGTTAATTTTCTCTGACAGCTCAGGTTAAGTACAGCCCTACTCCATGTCTCAGTGAGTACTGCATATTAGTGTGGAAGAGTTCTCTTGATTTTGCAGCTTAAGCTACATACTGTCTATCTGGGGTGGAAGGACAAAAAAAGGGGTTGGTAGAAAGTTAACAATGAAATCAACCAATTCATCTTCCATCAGACACATTCACGTTAATCATTCATAGGAGGCAAACATGAAAGTTATACTCATAGCATTCAATTCCAGCCATGACCATAAAATAAAACTCCAACTAAACTCAACCAAGAAGCTAGGAAATTTCTTAGTTTCTTAGTTTTGTCTGGACAGAGTTGTAATCTGTTTTTCCATTTACACTGAATTTCTGTGAGATTGTTTGATTGTATCAGACTGCTTGGGGACAGATAAGGAAAGACAAATCAACGTACTGGCACACTTAGCAAGTCCTACAAATTTATTTTTTTTTCCACTTGGTTCCCAATTTGACCAGTATGCTTCAGAAGAGAGGCCTCACATATAATTACTCTTCCATTCAAACGACAGAGGAAAAATAAACATATTTTGAAGAGGTACAAATCATAAACAGTTATGCAAACAACAACCTTGTATTGTTAAGTTAGCCTTGCAACATTAACTTTTTCTTCACACATCCTTTGCACCCTTTTATTATTTGCAGCTTTCACTTATTACCATGACACAATCAGCATTTCAAAGAAAGAAGAGGGTCTATTTTTCTGTGAAATGCCTAGTATATTAAACAATCAGAACATAAATTCTTTCTCTGTTTCTGCTCAGCAGTCTGATAATGAAGTTACTTAGCAACAGATGAAGCAACTGAACTGTGTTGCCTGATCCACATTTCACTGTAAAGTAACACTCACAAAGGCGTTATTTAGCTGCTGGTTGCCTCTGTACAGATGTATTTTTGAAGTATAAAATCCGTTAGTCTGAGACAAGCCTACATGAAAACCCAGCCTCCATGTACCATCTATAATGGACAACACATTTTGAAAGTAATAGAAATTGCCTGTAAGGTTCACGTGATTTTGAGCATCTCTGAAAAAGGAAGAAACAAGAAAATACAAAACACACAGACTCAATGTACAGTATTTACATGAAAGCTACAGAAGATGTTAGGGTGGGTGGGGGGAAGAAAGGAGTCTTCTTCCTATAGCAGACTGACAATCTAATCTATGAACTTCAAATACAGAATCAAGCCCTCATATATCAAGTATGCTTTTCTTGCCACACAATATTTTGATTTCAGAGAAAGAATACTTAGTTATTTTGAAAACACACACACACATTTCCCCAAACTACCTTCTTCACCAAAAGAGTAGGAAGTAAGATGTGCCACAGTAAATATTAGCAGTAGTTTTATTTTAGGAGGCAGTCTTAAAAACAAAAGTAACCCACAGAATTTGACAAATCAAACAGTGGATTATCATTTGCCACCAACCATTACTCCCTTTTAAGGTAACTCTGTGGCATTAAAACAACTCGTATCTTTTATTATTGTTATTTTGGAAGGTAAAAATTTTTATTTTGCAACTGCATGAGAACTTCTTACAAGCTGTCTTGGTTCATCACACACAATTACACTTCCAGCAAGATTTGAAATTCTCTTGCCCCTAGCAAGTGAAAAGCACATCAGTTTCTGCAGCATCATCTAGTGGAATCATTCAAGTGTTATTTTATCCTAAAGATTGAGCACCCTGGAATTCATAATAACTTTATAATTTATTTCATGTTTACATTCCTAGACCAAGATTTAAGGACCTGAATTTGGACTTTACAAAGCTAAACCAAGTTTGCCGCAAGTTTATTTCTTCCTGAAAAATTAAGATTTGGCAGCAGCTTTAAATAAAACTAGACATTAAAAAAACCTACATTCATGAAAAATTGTGCAAAAGGTTAGGTTTCATAAGTCACTTGAGAAATTTTCAGAAGTGACAAAATCATTAAAAGAAGTTCCCTATTTGAGAGTACAGACTTTTGTCTTATTTCCAATGAAGAATCAATGTTACGTTTCCAGTAATGGAGGCAACCAAATAAAGTACAAGTGAAGAACATCTTTCCTGATTGTCTTAAAACCAAGAAGAGACTTCCTATGGCCCATTTCAACTGAGAACTTCAATAACATTTCAGATAAAAAAAAAAACCACAGAACTTTTAAGCGCTAACAATTATAATGTCAGCTTCTTAGGTTATGTTTCAGACTATAAAGAGAATAAAAACATCAATGGCAAGAAGTGTAAGACATTTGTAAGCAAGGTCAAATTAACATCTTAACCACATATTTTCCAATGATCATGAACTTATGTAGGTATTTATACATATAATAATTTTTATGTACAATTAAGTAATCTTGCACGTACAATTATGTAAACCTTGAATATTCGCAACAAGCTTTTTCCTCTTTCATTCAAAGATAAATAATGCTTTGAATTTCCCTACTGTTCTCCAGTTAATTTTTGCATGAGTATGCTTTCCTTCAAGGCTTCTTGGGACTTTCAAGTCTCTTTCTTTTTTTAATTAACAGATTTTCTTTCTTAAGATAAATATTACAAGGACTAATTTTGACTGTACTCCAGATTTGGTTTTGATATGGGAGAAGGGGACACACCATTTTTCTGCATTTGAACTGTCTTGAGATCTCAGTTTTGGTCATGATCTATCTCTCAACCCATAATTCTGATCAAAACCAGTAAATGGCTTTCTTTTTTTTAAGTAGAAAACATTCTCGAATGAACGACCTTAGTTATTAGTATCTGTTTGTCTGTTTGAAGCCAAATATCAAATGACTCTGAGTACAAGGTATGCTGTTTTCTTACAAACGTATTTATTTGTTCCAGTTCAGCAGTTTTCAAACTAAAGGTTATAACCCTGACATTACCTGATAGTTAAGAATTCAACTGCAAGCAGATTTTTCTACTTACTTCCAAGAAAAAACAAAAAACAAAAAAATTAAAGCCAGTGCTTTACTATACTATCTAGTAGATACTGGCTTTCAACATTAGAAACCATGATTTCAAAGACTGTTTATAATTAGGACACAAGATAGTTTCATTACTCCTCAGCAACTTCCTTCTACTAGCACAGCCACACTCTTTTCTCAACTGCATCCTGATGAGAAAGTGACATATTTCAAGAAAAGATTATCAGAGTGTATTATTTGTAATCAAGAACCCTACCTCCAAAAATCTTTTAGTTTAGTTAAGTTTGTACTTTTTACTGTAGAAAAATGTACTGGTATAAACAAAAGAAACATTCCATATAGACTAAGCATTTTCCTACATGAATTAGGCATCTCCTAAACTATTAGTCCTGGAACGTCATGTTGAAACCAAAAGTTAATATGTATTTGGAATAGCATTAGCTTAACTTGTACTTTGAGTCATCTGAGCTATCTCTGTAAAACCTAAGTTTTCACAGCTAGAGAACATTTTTAAGCAATTCACTGACAAAAAGCAGCTATTCAGAAGGAAGTTTTAAACAGATAAAAAGCAAGAGAAAGCTCTGACAATGAAAACACTGTGGAAAAAGAAAATCATGACATGTACTTACTAATTTGTTTTCTTGCATGTATATTCTTTGCAACTTCTCACAGCCTTTAGCTATAAAGATCATTCCTTCATCTGAGATCTTGTAACACTGCCCAAAATGAATGTCTTTCAATTCTCTGCATTTTGAGCCCAGCTGCAATTAATGGAATCAAAGCAAGTATTTAAGAATAAAGGAAAAAAACAACAGGATTTGACTGAACTGGAGAGTTGGGAGTTAAGATTTCTTTCTGCTTCTATGCCCCCCCACCTTAAAAATTATCTTTCTTTACAGGTTTTGTAACACAAACAAGAAAGATTATAATTACATACATGACAAAATGAAGTTGCTAACTACAGTCAGCAAAATGGAGCTATGAGCAGCACGTAAGAACCAAGTTATTTATTGAGCGTATAAGTAGCTAACAATGCCTGTATGCTAGACCATTGATAGCATATTTGATTTAACATAACTACTTCACAGCTTACCCTAAATGCTCCTTTTAACACAAGAGAGAGAGTTGACGAAACCTTCCTGCGTGCCTAGCAAATAAAGTTCTCAGTCACCTTCAGCCTTCATGATGCAAAAAAGATTTATATAAACACTGGTTCCAAATAGCAACAAGCTCAGGAAAACTTAATCAGCCAGAGGTGAAGTACAGGATGTTGAACTGGAGATTTCATTATAAAAGGGATCATATAATCCCTGGATATTAAAAAAAAAAAAAAAGTATGTGCAGTCTCTAGAGAATAGCATTACTGCACCAAAAAAATATGTCCATAAACCAATTTTTAAAATAGTAGAGGTCATCTGATTTTAATTAAATCCTAGAAGAGGGTACCTTCTTCCATGTCCCTTTTTGCACTTAGTAAGCAGTTGAAAGATATTAAATTTACAAAAGAAATTTGTGGAATGGATGGTTACCTGCTTTAGGCCTTCATCAGTGAGTCTGTCTTGATTGCCTACATGCACTTTCTGAAGAAGAGGACACTGAGAGGCAACTGCAATAATAGAGATGTCAGAAAGCTGTTTACACCTGTAGGCAGTGTACCTTAGGAGCCCAGGACATTTAATTGCTAATATGCATACTCCTTTATCAGATACATTGCGACAATCAGAAATATTGATTTCAGTAACATTCTGGCTTCTTGATGCTATCTTTTCCAACAGCTCATCAGTGACCTGCAAAGAAAATCCAAATACTCAAATTTAACTTTTTTCATAAACATCTTTAATTTCATTAACACAAGAACTACTATTTGCAAGATACATTTCCATAAGGTATTGGGAGAATGAGAAGATTTATTTTCCAAGATAACAGCATACTGGTATAATCAGTTTTACAGTTACCTTTAAAGAATTCTGCTCCGGCACTTGGAGAGAATAACAGTTAATGGTCCTCTTTTAGACAAAGAATTCTTCATCCTTTAGAAGAAAAGGATTTGCTGGCCCTTCTACAGCAGCACTCTACTTACGTACCTAAGGTAGCATTTACAGAGAAGTAAAGAGTGTATATGTCTCTGAAATGCAACAGGTCTTTACTTAGGCTTTGGTAATCATCCAAAACCAGGTGCCAGCAGACAAATAGTACAGTGATGCAGGTAACAATGAGCTTCTTAACAACAGAAAACAGTCACCTAAGGTAGCAGTGAATAAAAGGGATGAGAAGGAAAGAACACCATAAAGCTAATTAAAAACCAAGTTTCCTTCCCCCTTTATTTGCTCAGTTTTAAAATATGCAAGTATTCTGGTTTTAAGTGTTAGTCTATGAAAGACCATTAAATCAGATACTTGCACTATTTTCCCAGAGCTCCTTTGAAGAATAAAAGATTCTATTCACTTTGTACCTGTACACATTGTAGTTAGCTAACATGTCAGTAATTTTAAAAGCCAGTCCTACACAGCGGGTAAGAAACATAAGATATTCTTCATGCTCAAGATAACTTAAAACAAAACAAAACCCAAAGCAGGTAAGACACAATGCACAGGACTCCCTCACTTTAAAAGTTCAGTTTCAAAAAACCTGAGGTGGCCTGAGGTTTCTAACAAAACCGTTCAGGAATACTTATTCACCACTTAGCATACATGTGATTTAGCTTTAAGCCTGAAGAGGGCAAGAGAGCAACACAAATCCCTTTTGTTTTTCTCTTACACAGTTGAGAAACAAATTGCATTCAATCTCTTTTCCATCAGTAGCAACTCTAATCTTTTTTCTTGCTATTTCATCAGGGAGCTGTTAGCTAGAAAACATGACAAATTGGGGCAGGGGACACACACACGACAAATAACCCAAACCACCAAAAACACCTAAACAAACAACCCCTCCAAAAAAGGAACACAACCCCAAGAATAACCAAAAAAACCCCAAAACCACCAAACACTCCCCACACACGGAGAAGGATAACATTTGTGCTTAAATACTGGTTTAGGAACTCAATTAAAAATTGGCAAGATAGTTTTCTTAGGGCAATGCCACAGCTGATAAACTTTAGTGAGATCCCAACATACCCAACAGGCAAAACCATTAAACACCTTTGTAGTAGAAATAAGGCTACACCTCAAGACAGTGACGAAGAAAGACTTATTTGACACATAGTACCTACAGAGCAAAAAGATGGACCTCTGGTCTGAGTGTGGAGTCACTTGAGAAAAATCAGACAATCTGCTATATAACAGTGGTTCAGAAATATAACCACTAGCCACTAGTGACTCTAGAAGCAAGACAACTTACATGCTTTCTAATGAATTGGTGATCTGAAAATAATACCCCGTGTACATTCTCTACATCCAACATAGATGAGTTCATGTTGCTGCTTCTTCAAATGGGACCCTCCAATAGCTGTTCTCCTGCACCCTATATTTTCATGAAACTCCCAAGAAATTGTTTTATAAACCTCTGAAAGTAACTAAGTAACAAGAAACCTCAAGGGGGTGGCCAAACAACATGGGCATCCTTAGAAAAGTTTTCCAAGGAGGAAAGTTACCCAGAACAATCTAAGGCTAGACTCTAAGGATCTCACTAAATGAAATCCATGAATCCCAGACATACTTAATTCTAGGATTGGCTAAAGGCCTAGAAAGACACAATCTGTCTTCTGACCAGTAGAAGCCACATGAGTTCAAGAAAAATTAAAGAAAATTTGTTAAAACAAACAAAGCAAGCACCAGTTAGGTGATCATTCTTCAAAACTAGAGCATCCTCAGAAAAGCTCATGTACGTCTTTCAATTAATATGAGATCTGATAGTTCTTATGAATAGAAATAACCACTACCTGGTACAGACCCGAGACAAGTAACCCACAATCCCTTTCAAACAGCACTTGTCCTCACACTGTTTAACAAATGATCTTAGGCAAAAGCAGCTACATTTAAAGGAGTTAATCTAAGGGTCCAGATATTTTTAGTCTTTAGCAGAAAAATCCCTGAAAGCACAGACATCACCGGTTTATGGGTTTCTTTTGTTTACCTTTGCTCAAGAGTACAAGTTCTGAGAACAAGTTCTGAGTCATCAAAACATAATTTTTCCACAGTGACACCTTCGTACCTGTTGACGACTACTGAGATCCAGTTGCTTCCAAAACTGAAAGTCTAAACAGAGTTCACGCCAATATTTACAGACTAATGACACTGAAAGGCAACGCTCATTCAGGGATAAATTGGAAAATATCTGTAAAGAAACAGAAGGAAATATTATTTGTCAGAAGTAATCATATTTTAAGACAGAAATATTTTACTACTAACCCTTCTTGTAAAAGACAGAAAAGTATCAGTGTGCATTGCAACACACAGTTCTAGAACTTGTCCCTGACTTGATTAGTCAAGGACAATAACAAAAAAACCTACATCCCACAACAGCTGACAATATTAATAAGTCACATTAGCACAACCAACAGTAGAATGTATCCTACTTAAGCACTCATTTCTTAGACCAAATTTCAAACGTGCTTCTGAGATGGGATACCTAAGGAATTACAAATACAAATACTAGCACAATGTTATTTGCAAGCCATTTAAAAGGTGTTTTCATTCCCATTCTGATTCAGGTAGAAAAACCTTTCCTTCTCTTTCCTAACTGAATTGAAAAGAAGAGTCATAAAGGTACAAAAACATCAGTCTTGTAGGAAGGGGGCATAGGATGGTGGAGCAGATCAGCAGAGCAAATCAGTGTCATACAAGGAAACTTAAGCATAGAATTAGCATTTTATACCCCAAGGTTTTGAGCACTACAGAGGCCTGCAAAAAAGAATAAACTGTAACTTTATGGCAGGCTCATAAATTTGTTACATTTATTATATTCAGCCCTTCCTCAGAAGTACTGTTGTTTCTTAATAAATATAAAAAGGTCTGTCAAGAGTTACATATGAAGGTACCCTGTAACAAATGAACTTCAGTCTACATGACATCCTATAATGAAAAAAGGCAATCATGGCATTAAGATATCTACACAGGAATACAAACTGCAAAACATGAAACAGTCCTCCCACTCAACTGATGAGGACATCAAGTACTAAGCAGAAGCACGATAGCCATTCTCGGGCAACGTTCTCCAGAAAATCTGAAGATATTGGACAGTGTCCACAGAAAGCACTAAGGTCTAGAAACCATGAAAAAATTCCAAGAAAAGACTAGGACTGTTTAACCAAGGAAAAGCGACAGCAAAGGGAGTAAACAAACTAGAGAGAACAACACTTTCATCTTCTTTGTGGTGGACAGGACAATTAGTCTCAAAAATTGTTAGGCTTCTAAACTAAGGATAATGAAGCATTGGAAAATAATACCTGGTAACTTACAGAATTTGCATCACTGGGTGGTCTCTAGAACAGACTAGACAATCAACTGTCAACAATAACAACCATTACTGCCCCCTTGTTATAGGAGATGGCTTAGCTTAGCATAGCAGTTTTAAATATGTGTATCCCTGTAAGACCCCTTGGTGAAGGGGAGTTGGTTGACTTACTAAAAGATCTGCAAAATATAATAAGGAAAAGAAAAAAAAATGAAAAACAACCCAAGTTCACCACCTTCTGTAAATGCTTGCAAGATTTATCACTCCCATCATCATCTTCTAGCTATGAAAAACTCACAGTCTCTTATGTAAGACTCCTCGCAGTGCTGAAAGATTGTGCGTGAACACTGTTTTCCTGCAGGCCTTTGCTTGACCATTACCAGAGCCAATGGATGTTTCTTATTAGGGAATCACTTGAACACAGGCAGACAGAAGTGCAGATGAAACAATCAGTGCCTGTTTCCTCCCTGCAGTTCTTTGTACTGGTGAATCCATGCACAGAGCAAGGAGGTGGCTGTGATCAGCACCCAAAAAATACCATCACCCCTAGTCAAGAAGGGAAAAAGCACTAATTAGTAAATGGTAATTTGGCATCTGACATTCCTACTGCCAAAGAGTAATTCTAAGCATTAGAAAGAGATGACAGTCTGATGATTCTCAGCAATTCTAAGTTACTAAAAGCAGTAGGAAACTTGAGTTCCTACTACCAGGATG